AATAGTAAGGGACGAAATGTCGTGTACCGAAGTGAGCGGTCACCATTTCTTCATAACTTGAAAATTTGATATTTTAGCCGATTCCAGTCTAACTTGAGAAGTGAATATCGCAGCCCAGAAACGCCATGCACCGAAATCCAAATAGACTTTTTAATTACTCATCGTGACCTATCTAATGACAGTACTCTCAAGCGAAAAGCGATTTTACACTTCAAGAGGTTTCCTTGTTAGTAGAAATATTCATGTTTGCTTTGTAGTTCACATTAATTTCATAATTTTTGGAGCAATAAAAAGTTGGAAAGCACGAAAAAAAATTTAAATTACTATCTTTTTATGAATTGAAAAGATGATTTCGATATAAGAATAATAGTAGTTCATATTTAGATTAACTATCCGTTCAAAATGAATCGTAAGTACTCATGTTCAAATCTTGTTCTCTGCATATATTCGCTAGATTTCGACGACTCGAAACTGAGACATCTATTAAACAAAAACGTTTGTTATTTTAATCCAATTCAGATTCCCTTGAAAACAATTTTTCGAGTGGTCAGAAACTGCTGATAAAAATGAGCTAATGCCGAGCTCTCTACCTATCGGAAAATGACAATCCGAGGGCTATGTTTGGAACTCCGATGTCCATCGGAAGCCGAAATCGACGCGTCGAAATGCCTATCGGATGTCCTGTTGAATTTGATTTGCAAAACAAAAACCACTTTTATGTTCACTTTTTTTGAAAAAAAAAACGAAAAACTAAAAAGATTCAGAGAGAACGATAAGAAATTCTGTACCGAATAGGCCGTTTACCATGACCGGTTACAATTCTTAAAACATTCAGCTCATTTTTGACAAAGAAGTTGAAAACATGCTCCCCCATTAGAAAAATACTCTCATCTCATTAGTTTTGTAGAAGCTATCTAGAATTTCTTTCAAGTTGTGTATTCACCATTTTGTCTCACGTACACCATTTCTAAAATAGGGTAAAACCCATTAGACCTTTGAAAAATGAGGCAGCCTTGGATTACAATATGGTTGGATTTTCTAGGTGAAGAGAAAACAAAATAGAATAAAACGAGAGAGAGAAAAAACTAGAAAAAAGAAGCAAAATTAGAAATGTATATCTGAACAAAAAATAATCATGTTGCTGTACCTTGTATTGTTTCTCGATCATTTGTCACGTTGTCTGGTTAAGCAGCGTACATTTTAATTTTAAATAACTATCATTAATAGATCCATATATATTCGTATTTTATATAAGATAGAAATGTTAGAACAAGTTTTACAATTTCCTGAATTTTATCTAAATTTCTGATTTTTTTTTCCTTCAAGATTGTTCTGCCTATATTCTTGATTTCGAGACAAAGACTATTGCAACACCTGTATACATCATACGTGATTATCTAAAGAGTTTGAGAACAAATAACAATTCAAGTGTGATTCGAATTTGATCCACAAGTGTCTAATATAATCCTAAATAGAATGTTCTACTGGCTTTTATTTGTGCTCTTGTTCATTTTCCAAGCATCAGTGACGACGTCTCAATTTCATCTCTATCATACAGATCATGTAAGCGACAATTCGTTAGATCATGACTGTTTGCTATATAATGTAGCTTCTATCAATCAAAATCATGTAAATCCTCAAAATAAAAATTCTGATCCATATCAAATAATTCCTTATTGTATACGTCCATTTGGTTTGCCATCCAGTCTATTGGTGAATAACGAAAAACGCGTCATTCATGGAACATCAATTACATTCGAAACATTACAAAAAGAAAATATAACAAGTCAACAATTATATTTATTATCTGCACCTATCGATGTTGTTGAACGATATCAAGCATTTCTCGAAAATTCATATTCGTTTTTATCAACACAAGTATTTAATAATTGTTCAAAACCATGGTTCGGTGAATATTGTCAATATTCATTTAATTTGACATTGCTTTTCGATAGGATTCTATGGGCTTATTTAACGTATCCTAAACAAGAAATTAATAATGCATTCAAGAACGGAACATGTTATATATTTATAGAATGTAATCGAGGCCCATTACCATCTTGTCTCGACTGGCGTGAAATATGCGATGAAAAAATCGATTGTTTGGATGGTGGTCAAGATGAAATTGGTTGTGAAATATTACATATAAATGAATACAAAGAGCATGAGTTTCGTTGTAGCAATGGATTTTGCATTCCGAAAGAATTTTTCAACGATGATTCTTCGAGTCCAGATTGCATGGATAATTCGGATGAAAAGTATAATAATATGGAAGATCGCTTCTCAGGAAAAGTTGCCTGTAAGACAGATCCGATGTTCCGTTGTGAAGAAACAACATGTCGAAATGAACGTATGCTATCATGTGGTGATGGTCAATGTACTATGCACAAATGTAGCAGCAATCGTGAGGTTCAATTAAAGAAAGCAAAATTATCTCAAAATGCAAATTCTCATTTATTATTTAATTGTTGGCGAAGTTTGATTTGTTTGACAATTTCAAATTATAATCGTCAAAATCTCTTCGGTCAAGTAGAATGTGGACAGGAAAATAGAAATGAAAATCTCTTTCGAGAAAGCTGTTCGTCACTTTTCTTCTTTCCTGCTCAGTCAATCCTGCTGAGTCATGTTCGCTTTGCCTATGCAAATAATCTAACAAATCAATATGAGTTCGGTATTCTTTTACCTCATTATGTATGTTACGATCAAGAACTCTGTCAATGGATTCCAGCTACTATATTGATACACGGTTTAACTTGTCGACATTCCTCTGAATTGAACATAGGTAAAGCATTGGGACCAGCAGATACCTTTGAGACTCGTATATTAAACTTTTTTCTCAAATGTTCGACCACAACGACTAATTATGTTAAGTGTCCAAAGTCAAAACCATTTCGATGTGCAAATTCGTCGAAATGTATCGCCTTGAATCGACTTCTTGATGATTTTTCCGATTGTTTTCAAGGAGATGACGAACAAATCACAAATAGTTGTTCGTTGCCAGATATTGATTATCGCTTTAGTTGTTCCTCGGAGCACAAATGCGTCCCTATGACTAGTGTTAATAAGCTTAAACCGATGTGTATTGGTGAAGAAGATGCGTTTAACATTATGCCTGGTGCAAATCCAATGAATTTTCATCTGTCATTCACAATACTTTGCGATGGCTTTATCGAGCATAACAGAATCGATGGGCTTAACTACACAGATGAAATGGACTGTGAAGATTGGCCTTGTAACAATGCATATACGCGATGTGATGGAAAATGGAATTGTCGCAATGCAACCGATGAAGCTAACTGCATCCTTATAATCCATGTCGTCCAAATGGTCATCCTTGTATATTACCATTTAGTCATAATTTTACGTGCTTATCTCTCTCGCGAATCAATGACGGTCATATTAATTGTGTAGGTGGTTATGATGAACAAAATCGCTGTGGACCAAAGTTGGAATTATATAGAGGTAAAACTTATCGTTGCTTCAATGAGACACAGTGCATTCATGATTATGAGATATGTGATTCAAACGTACAACATTGTTCATCGGGAGATGACCAAGATCTATGGTGTAGAAAGCTCCAAAATTCATCATATTCGATAGATTATAACAATATTTTTCAACAACCACGTGATTTCGACTATCAGTTGTATCAGTATCATCTAAGTATGGGACTACAGAAAGATCCTTTTGTCTATTTTACATTGAAAAATCATCTCCTCTATCCTCCTCCTCCTATTGAGACAATTACCAACCAGCACAATTTCGTCACAGCAACAACTGTGGAAACTGTTCATTCTAATCCATTGAATTTCGAACGGTCTTTGGAATCGCAGAATCATGGTTTAAATTCAATTTGTAATCGTGGAATTTTTATCTATGTAACTAATTTCACAGAAAACTCTTGTTTATGTCCACCAGCCTATTTCGGACATCGATGTGAATATCAAAATCAACGAATTAGTCTTACATTACAGTTTCGAACAGTTGAATTGCGAACAGTATTCAATTTTGTTATCATGCTTGTTGATGAAAATGCAAACATTCATTCTTCGGAACAACTTGATTATGTGTCCGTGCGTGACTGTCGGAAAAAATTCAATTTCTATCTGCTCTATTCGACACGACCAAAACATGCCAATCAAACTTATTATGTACGTATTGATACCTATAATAAAGAAAAAATGGAATATTATGTTACGATGGTGTATCCTATTGAATATTCATTCATACCAGTACATCGTCTTTCACTACAAGTCGATGTTCCGGTACCAGAAGTTACAACCAAATCGAAAATTTGTCCTTTGAAATGTTTCCATGGGCAATGTAGACATTTTTCAAATTCTGATCAATACTTCTGTCAATGTTCTGATGGTTATTCTGGAATGTTATGTACAATAAATAATTCATGTGATTGCTCATCAAATTCGATTTGTATTGGAGTTGTGAACAATCGATCAATATGTGTTTGTCCTCTTGATAAATTTGGACCACGTTGTTATCTGAAAAGGACAGTTTGCGTCTCGAATCTGTGTTCTAATAATAGCCGATGTATTCCTGGTGGTGAGAAAAATCCCGAAATGGAATACTTTTGTCTATGTTCTCAAGGTTACATGGGTTCAAGATGTGAAAATCTCGAAACAAAAATCGAATTTCATTTTTCTAAAACTATATCCATTCCACAAACGATTTTCATTCATTTTGTCTATATTCCACCAACACCTAATTCACTTAGTAAACTACCTCCTCCTGATCCAACACAGATAACTATGATTTCAAAATTAAAGTTTCATGAAAGTTCTACTGTTGTTTATTATGGAGGAGCATTTCATCTAATATTTGTAGAATTTCACCAACAGTATTATCTTGCTTTACTTCAACACAATTTTACATCAGCAATGAATGTTTCGACGACAATTATTCCTGAACATCGCTGTTTATCAATCAAAGACCTATTCGCTGATCATATCCAAACCTTACCACGATGGCATCGTGCTAAAAAATATTATATTCCATGTCAAAAATATTCAAATCTTACATGTTTCTATGACAGTGATTACTTTATGTGTCTATGTGACATTGACCGATATCCAAATTGTTTCAAATTCGACTATCGTCCTGCTTATAATTGTTTAGGATATAATTATTGTGAAAATGATGGTCAATGTTTTCAAGACAATAGTACTTGTCCAACATCATCATCATGTTTTTGCAAAGAATGTTATCATGGTAGTCAATGCCAATTTACTACAACAGGATTTGGTTTATCACTCGATGATATTCTTGGCTAGGCCTCATTTTCATACTACGCCATCACTTTTTGTGTTTTTAGACTCTTTCCTCCTAAGTCATTATTTGTCATTTATTTTTATCTCCTGTATGATATCATATCAGATCTTTTATAGTTTTATGAAGCACGATGGTTAATGAATTTTGAAGTATATAGCAAGAAAAGCAATTCCAATCGACCATTCGATAGGCATATCGATGCGCCCACTTTTGCGTCGCGAGTGCATCAAAATTCTATATCGAGCCTTAAGATTCCCATTTCCCAATAGATAGAGGATTCGATGACAGGTCATTTAACGCGTAATTCTCAACCACTCGAAAGATTTTTTCCGATCGATATCCTATTCGCGAGTCGTCGAAACCTATCGAATATATGCAAAGAAGTGGATTCAAACATGGGTACTTACAATTTACTTTCGTGTAACATCTAAACTCAATTTGAACTAATAGTATACTTCTATGAAAGCCATATTTTCAATCTATAAGAATGATAACAATTTGAAGATTCTGTTCGTTATATTAACATTTGATACTAACTTTAAAAAGCATTTTTTTCATTTAAGACAAAAAAAAGCTTTTGTATGTCTCTAACAAACGCAAAAGCTTTTCTCGAAGTTTCGATGTTATATAAAGAGCTAATTTGATAAATGTGGCATTTGATCAATAACTGATTTGTGTGATAAAGTATAAAATCAATATTTAGAAATTCTTTTCAAGGTTTAAAACGCGAAAATTCGTTATGACTATGCTTTCCTTAAGAACGCTGATGATTTTTGTTCTAAGCTCTTATCAGTTAATATTAAATATTGCTTAAAAACCTGTAAAATTAACGTGAAATATATGTCAAACAAAAATAATTCTGCTAAGATCGTCGAATAAAAAAAGTCATTTCAAAATCACTTTTTTGGGGAAGCCTCGTATAAGCAAACTTAAAAACAGCAGTCGAAACAGTTGTTGTGTTAAGCTTTCTTCTACTGAAGTACTCGAAAGTATCTTTTCGATAGGTTTATTTTTGCCGAGAATTCGAAACTTCGATGACTGTCGAGGTGTCGAAACTTGTTTGATTAGTCGAAAATAAATGTCCGATAGGATACAATTTTCCAGTGCTCGGAATCCGATGGCTTTCGACGTGTCCGGAATAGGAATAGAACCAAGAAAACATATATAGATATATTTCAAAAGTTCCGACCGCTCGTAGTACCCATCTTATGCTTTTCAAAGTCTGCTTGGGATGCTATCCCTTCTGTCCCATATACGTACTTCCACAACCATGTCAGAAAATTTCACTTAGCATCACAGACCATAACAGCCATATCGATAAGGTAAGAGAAAAGAGATAGATTTCTGGATTTTGAACTTGTGATTTTTTTATTACTGGACTGTTTTTCGATCTTTCGAATATCGAAATTTTCAAGTATGAATAAATTTTCGGATGGGGAATCAGTATTTTGATATTGAATGATTTTACAATTAGGGGTGTTACTTTATCTTTATATATCTTTATATTAAAGAATAGATATAAATAAAATCTTTATATTTGAAAAATAAAGATAAATAAAGTCTTTATATTTATAAAATAAAGATTAAAGAATTGTAAAAATCTTTATTCTTTAATAAATAAAGATAAATAAAATCTTTATTTTTATAAAATAAAGATAAATAAATCACTTATTTTGGAAAAATAAAGAAAATATAAAGATAAATGTAAGATTTTTTCTATGACTGAAAAAGAAACAAATCCGTGCTACAACAACAGGATATGTCAACTAGAAGAAGTTTGTAGCATGCAGGTGTTCGATCTTTCAAGGAAACGCTGTTATTAACTACGTGGCGTGCCAAGAAATAGAACTCTTCTGTCCATTTAATGAGCCCTTAATTGACGAGTAGTGAAAGAAACTTGGATGATATCTTCGATCGATTTTTAGAGTGGATTTTCTATCTAACATCTATTTGTGATACCATTAAAAGCTTTCAAATTTAGATTCGATGTTGCTGCTACACTTTTATGAAAATCGCTTCGTAGGAAACATTACATGATCTTCATGTTGGTCAGATCTCAATTTTTTTAATGAGCTCGAGTGCGCATAAAAATCAGCTACTTACGGACATCTGTATTATTAAATATTCAATCCAATAAAACAAAGAAGAAAAATGTTAAAAATCACTATCTTGTTGAACCTTTCTTTTAGTATCCGTAGAGCGCCTACAATAGTATTTTTTTGAATGAGGCAAGCTTCATTTCTTCAAAGCGTTAAGTAAATTTTCACAAAAAGAATTTCGAAGCAAATAGTCACAATAGGATTTTCTTCTATATAAATATATCAAAAATTTTACTTTCTCATTTTCATCAGCTCATGTAAAATCTTTGTTTCGTCACTTGTTTTAGTTTTTTCTCCTAGTTAAATTTTCAAGAATAATGAATTAGACCACTTGATATATCTTATTAATTCTTTTGTTGATCTTCGTGAGGTTCAAATAGACTTATAAGCATTTTTTGACACCACTAAATAGATTGATGTTTCTATGTGTATATTGATTTTTTTGTCTGGTATTTGGGATACCTTGTGATGGTATTATGGCACCATGAAAAACATCTTTCATCCACAGATCCTTCTGAATACCAGATTAGTCCTGAGTACTAGGTACTCTTTTACTTCTAAGTCTAGATGAATTTCTTCGACTTGATAATATCTGATTTTGAATATTTAAAACAATATGGGACAGTTGATGAAGACATTTGATGATTGACGTCATAATGAATCATGCACTGTTCAAATTGAATTAATATAAGGGAGCATCCATAAAGGGCGTCCGGCAAAAAATACTCGATTTGGACCTTCCCCCTACCAGCGGACGTCCTTTATGGATGCTCCCTAACCATTAAAGCATACTTGAATAAGACTTCCATGTATTCATTAAAATCTATATGATATCATGTTTAGAAAAGAAGTATAACTATTGTTCTACGGTTTCTCACGGACGGACGTCTGTGGACTCAAACTCCTTAAGTGTTTAAATGATGTTTTTCTCTTCTTTTCTCTTCCCACTCTTCTATATTTATCCCCGCTTCTGTAATACGCAGTTATACACACTCATAAATTGACTTGAATCTAGTAAATGAAGTGTAGAACTGCTACGAACATTATGATTTTAACTAATCACATAATATTTATTTGATATTTCGACAATATTCTTTTGTCATCATCAGAATAAATACAAATTTCACAATAAGAACAATACAAACAAACTCAAGTTAAGGAAACAGAAAAAAATAAATAAATATAGAATGACGATTGTATGTGAATGAGAGTATTATATATGTATG